ACTAAAAAACATAAAAAAACTTCAAGCATATTGATTGCAGTGTATGCAACCTGACTGCTTTGCAGTAATAAATGGAAAAGGTTCAATTGGTGCTTCAAAGCCAGAGGCTCAGCGTGCTAGAAACTACCATTTGCAGAAAGAAAGCTCAGCAATGGCCGCCTCCACCTTTCTCTTATAACAGACTTCCTTTACAGTATGACCTCGTGCTTCTATACTGCTTGAACCCTGTGATCCACCTACTTCTTAACAGTATGTGCTGTATGTGCTCTCAACGCCCACCTTCAAGCCATAGCCAAGCAAGCACACAAACCGCAGCAGGGGTGTGCAGAGAAATGGAGCCATGGTAGTTAGTTGCAAAATGCATGTCATCAGCCACAGAGGGAACCACAGCTGCATCTTCCGTAGTCCCAGAGGCATCAGCCACACCTTCCAATAGTGGGATGGCGCATCATAGAAACACCCCTCCCCTTTCCATTGGCACCTCCATGGAGTCCACTCCTCCAGTAATGGTCTCCCTCCCCAGAAGGGATGGAGGGTAACTTGCAACACTCGCTTCACAACCAGTCAAAAATAATGTGTTTTGGTGGGCAACGTGGGTGGCACAGATAGTCACAGTGTCACTGGTCTCTCATTGTATTAGTTGTGCCAGGTCAGCATGTACTCATATTTTAGCCCATGCCGGGTGACTGGTTCACATCCACACCACCTGCTCCACCCACACTGCCCACATGACTGTAAAAGAAGCATGGGAATATGTTGGCTCTCTTTTCTTATGCTCATTATGACTATACCACACAAGGTTAGCCATGTCCCGAGTCCTACCTCACAGCAACAACCTCTATTTGGTTTCCCCAGATCCAAAGGTGACAGCTCCATGGTGCAAATGTGTATCAGATCTCTGTATTATATATGCCTTTTGTATTTAGGAATGGGGGGGGGGTTGACGTACGCCCGGCCAAAACCCGCTGTATGTCAATCACACGTGACTATACACAAGTCTGAACCGAGCGTGGGCGTCACACGGACTCTCAGCCTCACCCTGCACAGAGATTCCCCAGCTCATGGGACACAATCTCAGGCCAGCAGACTGAGAGCGATCATCACCAGGGTTGGTTAACTCAGAAGTTAACCCTTTACCCACAAACGTTCGCTGCCACCATGTGTTTTCTTTAACGGAAACACAGACCATGCCCAGCAAATGCTGCGACAAATGATGCCGCTGTCCTCTCAGACAGGAATATGACAGGATTCACTATACAGTAGCGCTCTTCACAGAGGCAAGGATAATTTAAGTTCGTATTTAGAGCGTAGAGATAAGCTTAGCGATTTTTTATATTGTCCTTCAATAAAAGAAACGGTGCAGAAAATATACAGAAAAAGTTATAAACCATCTTCCGTCCATGGCCGTTTGTGAACGGCCGGACGGTAGTCTGCTAGGAGCGGGAGGGCGTCTTAAGACGTCCTGCCCCTCCCCCCTCTCGTGTGCAGCGCTCAGTGCGCACACGAGAGGGAAAACTGTGACATCTTGTGTGCAACAGCGATGGCTGTTTACATACAAGCAATCGGGCGTCTCTAGAGATGCCCGATCGCTTGCAGGAGCTGCGGGTGTGCGCCCCCCCGTACCTATGTCCCGCCGTCTCCTCGCCGCTGCCGGTCCCGTAATCCGCTGTGGCCGGTGCGGCTGGGGCCTGCACGGTGACGTTCTAACAGCAGATCGATGGGAGATCATTACTCGATCTCCCTTTGATCTCTTTTCCTGTCCCCGAATGCAGGAAGTGATGTATATTACATCACTTCCTGCATTCAGTGTCACTCTCTGGTGCAGAACACCAAAGATGCCCCATCGCGTGCAGGAGCTGCGGGTGTGCGCCCCCCCGTACCTATGTCCCGCCGTCTCCTCGCCGCTGCCGGTCCCGTAATCCGCTGTGGCCGGTGCGGCTGGGACCTGCACGGTGACGTTCTAACAGCAGATCGATGGGAGATCATTACTCGATCTCCCTTTGATCTCTTTTCCTGTCCCCGAATGCAGGAAGTGATGTATATTACATCACTTCCTGCATTCAGTGTCACTCTCTGGTGCAGAACACCAGAGAGTGATGAAGCAGACCCTCAGTAGCATATCTGCACTGGTGTAAACCCCGTCCCTGAAGACCCCTTAAGGAGCATGCTTATCCAAAGTGAGGGAAGTAGATAAATTTTTCCTAATTGCCCCCCCCCATCTCTACCACCGCTTCCCCCTCTGGTAGGGCAGAGAGGATTGTTTGTGTCCCTTTGTGCCGGTCAGAGGCATGTGTGGTTGTCTCCAGCGGCCATCATTTTGCCTCTGCCAAAACTTAACCATGTGCAGTATGGACTGCAACGGCCATTTTGGCTCAGACACAAGCGTGGAGGGACAGAGTAGCGGTGGCTTGCATACACCCCAAACTTTAAAAAAATGTTTGCCTTTTCTGAGGTTCATCCTCTTTCCCACTGGGTTGTGTGGAGGGACAGGGCTTAGAGTCACAGGCAGAGTCACAGGCAGTGGTACAGCAGAGGGCTAAGGCACTGGCCAGAATAGACAATCACCTAACTGTGAGTACCAGTGGCCCTTTCATTTGCAGGAATTAAGACTTAAGGGGGGATCCAGAATGGCAACTGCTGGCGGGAATAGTGGGTTACTTGGTTTTATTCTTGCCTGTTAGTCCACCTTTTCATTCCTATCCCTTTTATTGCATCTGTTTCTCTGTCAGCCAGCTTTCATTCTTTCTAAGGATGATTTTGCGGCTACTTTTATCAATTTTCATGGGTCAAATTTCTACCATGTTGTAAGTGTCGGGCTCCTGCGGGCGTAAGTGTGGTCGGCCTTCTCTAGTGCCTTCTGACTCTCAATCAGATGAAGACATTGCCCATTGTTTGTTTCCTGAACAGGATGAGGAGTGTTAGGAGTTGGAGGGGAGTCCTGAGTCCAAATCAGAGGATTCCACCCTGGAAGAAATCCCCTCGCGATGTAGCCAAAGTCGCGTAACACCAAAGCAGTGTTAACTGAGGAAGTGAGAGATTGCTAGTCTACATGCTGATTGGCAGCACCCAGAGAAATTGTTTTCTCCACCTGAACGTTTTGTTCAGCAAAATCTTTTTGAGGAACCCATCCTCAAGTTTTGGGCTGTGCTAGAAGTGGATGCAGTTATTTTCTTAATAGATCTCTTACGGTTCTGGAAGGATGTTGTGGACAAACGTTTGGAAGGGTTATGCCAGGCCTTAGCGATTTGGACAAAACATATGGCTAGAGACCCAGGATCAGTGCCTTCAGATCAGAAGGTTTTAAGAAGCTTGGAAGTACGTCCTGGTGCTTTACCTTATTGTGTAGATCAGTGGTTCTCAACCTTTCTAGGGCCAGGACCCCTTGGTAACATTTGCCAAGTCGTGGTGACCCCCAACCGTAAAATTTAGGGATGCACCAATACTAGTATTTGTGTGGGCTCTCAGGAGGCTATGCGGGCTCTAAGGTGGCTAGTGGGACTCTCTGGTGGCATCCAGTGCGGCCCCTGTGGTGCCCAGTGTAGGCTCTCTGGTGCCCAGTGCGGGCTCTGTGGTGATCAAGCACTCGTCTCCCCTCTCTCCTGCCTGCTCCCCTCTCTCTGATCCTCTCCGGCCGCTGCTGCTGCAGCGCTATCTAGGAGAACTGACACTGCTGCGCTAGAAGGAGGCTGAGGAGCCTCTTACCTAGAGCAGCACAAGGCATGTAGGGACCCCCTCAACTGTGGATTGTGACCCACTTCTGGGTCACGACCCACAGATTGAGAACCACTGAGGTAGATGCTCTGGTTGATACATTGCATTAGTTACTGGGCTTGGGTTGATGTTGGTCTGGATGCATAGATATTTGTGGCCAACAGAACTTACTGGTCAGCAGAACCTGCATGTAAAAAGCATTTGGAAAGAATTCCCTGTGCTGGGAAACGTATTTTTTGGAGAAGGTCTGGGTGTCTTTAGGAAGAAGGTTATGGGTGGAAAAAGTACCTTGCTGCCTAGCAAACGTAAGACTATGGTTTCCCCATAATAAGGATGTTAGAGTGTCACAAGGAGAACAAGTGAGGGTTAAACCCCCCCCGTTCCCCCATGGGGCCACAGACAGAAATAAACACTCAACAGATATGTTAGCTTTTCCCAACTTTAGCTCAAACAGTAAAAAAAAGACTGAGTCAGGGATTAACACTTTTACTGCCAAAGCCTGTTTTTTCATATTTTTGAACACATGTTAAAGTGCACTTTTTACGCCTAAGGATTACTTAAAACCTCCAAAACATTCTATGCTTTTGGAAAGCAGAGTCCCTGTAGACTAAAATGGTCACCACTTTTTTTTGTGTCACGACATTAGCGCAAATAACCCTTGGAGTGTAGGGGCAGCCTCACTGCAAGGGGAGGTTTTTGTTTGCCTGGAGATAAGGAGACATCAGGTACCCATAGACCCATGCACTCTGTTGAAGATACAGATAATGAAAGTAATCAAAGCTGAATGGATGTTCAATGGTATCCCGCTGCTCTCCCACCAAATTGGGGTGGCTTTACAGCTACAAGAAACCAGACAGTGTGGGGTGAATATGGGACACAGAGGGCAAAATAAATGACAGGATTATAACCCTCCTTTTCTTTATTCAAAATAAAGAAAATATGTTTTGGCTCCAGTTCTACTTTAACGCATCGTGTAATGAAACAAATGATGCATTATGGAGATCTATACATCAGACCATACAGAGGGACATATGAAAGGACAGAGCAATTTAGTTACAAAAGGAGGGACGGTTGGGCACTATGTAAATCCTCCAGTCTCCTGCTGTCAATCACACGCTCGATTAGCTCCACGATTGATTATTTCCGCCTGGAGGATCGTTCGGATCTATTGTTTCTGCCTGGAGAAGTGTTCGACGTTGCGGGTAGTTGATTGGCTCAGGGCTGGTGGCGGAAGTGACGTGTTTAGGCCTAGTCGAGGCGTGCAGATTCGGAGTTCTCCGTACTAGTGAAGCTCGCGGTTTGGCGCCATGGTGAAGCTGACGGCCGATTTGATCGAGCAGGCGGCGCAGTACACGAATGCTGTGCGGGACAGGGAGCTGGACCTGCGGGGTGAGTGTGAGGGAGAGACGGCATTAATAGCGGAGGGGTTCATAATCTCATTGAAGGAAGCTTAGTGTTCTTTGAATGGGATCCGGCAGCACATGTGTAACGTGGTAACATTGATTGCAGCTTCTGCACCTGAGGAGCCAACCATATAAATGTTATCCGTGTGGATATTATTTATTGTAAAGAGAGCGCCCAGGAGAGCCATGTAACCACAGGGGACCGTACTGACTATGTATGGCTATGGGAGCTGGACCTGCACTGCAAGGGTGGTGTGTTTGTTTTGGTCAGCACAGGGTTACTTTGTATGTAAAAGTAGAGGGAAACCTCTACCCTCTATGGTGGTCTGTTTGTTGAAACTTCTCCTATTTGCTGTTTCCTGTTGCAAGTGTTCCATGCTTCTGGGTGTGTAATTACCTGCCGCACACTGTGGTTTCTTCTGTCTGCTAGTACAACACTACAGGATGTACAAACCGGCATTAGGAACCACAGTGTGCAGTGGGTTTACGAAACTGGCTTTTGACCCCCCTCAGACGTAAGTATATTCCCTCTACTTTTACAGGTATGTTTTTAAAGGAGAACTATGGGGTTAAGGCTTTTCCCCATAGTTCTCAGGGTAACGGGAGGACACAAACTAGCGTCCTCCCGTCACCCTAGGCTCAGTATACCGCGAGCTACAGCGCACGGTATACTGAGACGCCACAGTATACCGCGAGCTGCTGCTCACAGTATACTGAGACGCCACGGTATACCGCGAGCTGCTGCTTGCAGTATACTGAGACGCGGAAGCGGATCCCCACAATTGTCTGGATCCGCCCAGCTGCGTGAGTGACAGCTGGCTCTACCTATCTAGAAGCAGAGCCAGCTGTACCCTCCCCCGTCCGTTCCGCCAGTCAGCGCTGGTGGAGCGGGGAGGAGGGAAGCCAGCCCCTCCCCTGTCACGGCAGACGGCTGTGACAGGATCGAGAGGTGAGCGAACACCGGCATGTGTTCGCTCACCTCCCGATCTACTGAGCTGACCTGTGACAGTCTCATTGTCACAGGTCGGCTAGAACTATGAGGATGAGTGAAAAGCACTCACCTCATAGTTCTCCTTTTAACTACTTTTAGGATGACTTTAAAGGGAACCAGGTGTTGAACATTCAGTTGTTTCCATATGCTTCCTTAAAACCTCTAGCTGCTGGCACCGTGGACAAAATTATCCTTGATGATTCCTCGAATATCACAGCAGAAGCACAGACATTGTTCTAAGTGACACTAAACTCATTAGTTAAATCTTAGAAATACATTCAAGTACCTTAAGGCCCCGTTCACACCTTTCCGTTTTGTCGGGCGTTCAACGCTCTATGAACGCTCTACAAAACGTACAACCATGAAAATCCCATTGTTTTCTATGGGTATGGTTCACACCTTTCCGTATTTCCGCCCGTCTGAACGCCCTACAAAACGGCTGACTCCCAAACAAGTACATGTACTTCTTTGGGCCGTTTTGGAGGGCGTTTTCGATTGGGATACAGCCAAGTAGCCTTCGGAATCGCGCGATTTTTTTACCGCGTATCGCGGTAAAAAAAAACGCGTGACGGTCGCGCGACAGACGTGCAGGCGTAATACGCCTAGGTGTGAACCCAGCCTAACTATTAACAAGTATCTTATTTGTGTATCACTCTCTGAATTGGTGCTGACACTGTCCTTCCTTATGGGGGGTGGCTACTTTGACTACCCTCTCTGCTGTAAAGTGGTCACCGCTCCAAGCTCACTCCTGGGATGGGCTGTAATCTCAATACAAATTAGTAAACTAAATGTGATATTGTAGTCCATCACGGGAGTGAGCTTGGAGTGGTGGCTACTTTACAGCACACAGGCACCATGGGGAACAAAAGTAGCCACCCTCCAGAAGGAAGGACAGTGTCGGCACCGATTCAGAGATGATTTGAGGATCTACAGCCGAGTGATACACAAATAAGATACATTTTTTTTTAAACTAGTGAAGGTACCTGGGTGTATTTTTAAGATTTAACTCCTGAATTCAGTGTCGCTTTCTCTCAGCAGCTTAGTTTACTCTGCTCACCCTTCCCGCAGAGGATTAACAGTCTTCTAATATAAGCAAAGCAAGAGGGTTTTTTTGGGAAGGGGGCTGGGCTGCTGAGAGAATGCCTTCACCGCTTCTCTTGAGAACATTGAGTATGAATTAGTCCGCAGTACCAACATCTACCTAAGTCAGTGATGACTTGTTTTTTATAGATGTGTCGACCTTCTGGACCATGTTTCGTATTACACCCATATGTAGGGTGAGATCCATTCACAGGGATCTGTGAATGGGATGACTGCAAATTCCATCTGCCACCACCCTCTAGGGACTCAAAGATCACGCTGACACAAGTGCAGTGATGTCTGAGAACTTGTAGTCAATTGTTTATGTTCTCTAGCTCCATAACAGTAGGTATGTACTTCCGTATTGACCCGGGGCTGGGAGGTAAACAATGCAGGAGCTTGTATATTGCTCTCACAGCACACTGGTGGCTATTGCAATGCTTTGAAGACTTCTGTGTAAAAGTTTAATAAGTGCACATTTTATTTTATTAATGTGGATGCATTTATTAGTTTTGTGAAAGGTGGACCATACCTCTATAGCTCATGTATTGCTATTAAAGTCTAAGTTCACCTTTCATATAAATTGACCCACACAGATAAGAGGCCCCAGTAGTTTAACATGCAGTGTGTTGTTTGTAAAAATGCCATCTAATGCCATACCTGTCGCCATTTTCTGTCATCCATGAAGCCTGGCTGAGATACTCCCAAGATTTCCATTCCTACATCCAGCATTACCCAGGAGCGAGTGTGCTTCTTGCTTCAAAAGATGCGCACTGCAAGCGTATGCATAGCCCAAACTTTTTTGTTTTTGATTGAATATGGCAGGATTAATCCCATGCTGGTTATTTTTTGCTGTCTGTGTACCATTGGGGAAGTTTATTTTGCTTACTGTCCCAGAGACAGAACAGGAAGCTTGAGGAAATCTCCCAACATCAGATGAATTACTCTTTTGGTGCCCATGAGTTTTCCCCTCACCTCTTGTTCTGCAGACAGCTGTAAAATTAAGAATTTTCCCTCACTTTCTTGGTGACGACATTCACTCGTATAAATAGAGTGAATCTCTCTAATAGGGACACTGATGGCAATAAAAACTTGACAGAGGGTCTCGCCCTTCCTCACTCTGTACAAAACATTGAAAACATACTTTTGTTTAGAGAAACACTTTAGATTTCTGAAGACTCTGGGGGGGAGGAGGAAGATTTATCGAATCCGGAGTAGTTGCCTATGGCAACCAATCAGCTTCTCTCTTCAGTTTGGTCAGTTAAGGTTTGAAAATTAAAGGTGGATGCTGATTGTTTGACTTGCACAGCTGCTCCAGATTTTGTCTGCTCTAGTTTTGATAGATTCCCTTCTCTGTATTTTGATCAATCCAGAAACTAATATTAACAGTAGACCTTTTGTTTTTCTTACAGGCTACAAAATCCCAGTTATTGAGAACCTTGGAGCCACACTGGACCAGTTTGATACAATTGATTTTTCAGACAATGAGATAAGGAAGTTGGATGGATTTCCTTTACTAAAGAGACTTAAGACTTTATTATTGAACAACAACCGGATATGGTAAGTTGCTGCTTTAGGTGTACTAATCTTGTACATCATCTGATCAAATATTTTGCTTTTTTTGTCCATGGTTATGTGGCTGAAGTGGGAACATTTTTCTCAGATTGATCATCGCTGTAAATCAGCTGGCAAACCAGGTAGAAGTACGTTTTATTACACTAGGATACATAGAGTGTAGGCATAAAAGGTTGTCTATAAAGTCTGCCCCTTTAATTTTATTTTGAAGTATAGATCTGTTTGTCCCAAGCATGTTTAAATTCACCTATTGTTGACTCCCTACCTCTGCTGGAAGTCTTTTCCAAGAATCCACTACCCTTAGTAAAATAATGCTTTGTATGGTTGGTTTAAAACTTTTCTCCTGTTAGTTTGAGGTCATGTCTCAGTGTTCGTGACTTGTGTTGAAAACACTGCACTCCTGGGCATTACTGGCATCCTTAATCTATTGAACCCTTTTCTCTGCCGGGCAGGCTGTCTTTACATGTGTGGTTGCTGTGATTGGCCATCTAGAGTGGCAAACAAAGTGCTGTGATAAACAAATCCCTTGCCTGATCTTTACTAGAGGTTCATATTGAGCCTGGTTGTTAGTCTATAACACAGTAAGAGTCATCCAGGCAACATTAACAGGCTGTTGCAACACGCACACTGCTGATATCCACTTCAGTCCAGAAGTATGTCATTAGTGTGGCGGTAAGTCTCGGTGGGCTGTATACAGGTGGAGTGAGGCAGCACAGAAATCATGAAATCTACATTCTAACTTGACAAATTGGTTAGGCCTTCCTAAAGTTCATTATAGCAGTGCAAGCCCACAGTGCACGTAATCCCTGTTCTGTGTCATTTAACTGTCAAATTCCAGAGCCTCTTGTAATTGAGGTTAATGGCGTTGGACTGTTGATTCAGATGGCTGGGTCAGGTGGGAATGTTATAATGCCTGGGATTAGGATGCCCAAGCAAGAAATGAACTTAAAGCTAAGCACATACACAATATGTTGCCAACACTTTACCAGTAAAGCTGGTTTGCACACTTTAAAGGACATGATATGTTTACTTAAAGCATGCAAGTTGACAATGTAGACATGAAACATTTATTATGAACATATAGCAGTGTTCTTAACATTTTGTTTATTTTTTTTTTCTCATTAGTCGTATAGGGGAAGGCCTCGAGCAGATGTTGCCTAATTTAACAGAATTGATTATCACCAACAACAGTATTATGGAACTGGTAAGTTTTTTTTCTCCTTTTCATAAAATTACTTGAATGCCCTCTGTCTGCTTAATGCACCTGATATTTTTATTTTGGCGTAACTTATTTTTAAGACCTCTCACATCGGTGTATTTCCTATTCACAGGGTGATCTGGACAACTTAGCAACTCTTAAAAGCCTCACCTATCTCAGGTAAGTAGCACTGCATGTTCTGGATATCCCCTAAAATCAGGAATACTTGTTTCCAGAAAGTTTGTAAGGTTTGATTCCATCTTGTGTCCAGTTTTTACTAGGGATGCACTGATACTAGTATCGATGGCGATAGAGTACTTGGGCAAGTACTCCGGTATCAGGAAGCCGGGCAGGGAGTCATTGCACACCGCCTGGCTGCTTGCTCCTTTGTCACCAGGGAGCATATAGTTGGTTTCCCAGCCAATCGGGAAGATGGGGGGCAGGTAATGAGTCTCTTTCCCCCCCCCACCACTTTCTTGATTGGCCAGAAAGCTGGCTCCAAGCTTCCTCGTCACCTGGTGATGAGGGAGCATGGCGACGGCTTCCTGGCTAAGCAGGAAGCTGGGCTGCGAGTCATTGCATGCCGACCGGCTCCCTGAAGTGGACTTTCGGTATCGGCGGGTACCAAAACAAAAATTATCAATACTCTATATAAAAATAACGGTATCGCTGCATCCCTAGTTTTTGCTGTCCGCATTTTTAAAACATTAGCAGTTAAAGTGCATGTAATGGCAATTTTTTTACATTTTGGGTAAAGTAGGGAAGGGTTGGACCCGGTGTCAAATTTTTTTGATGTCTGATCTCTGCTGAGTAGTCACCCCTCTATATCCTTCAGTGGGGACATCTGTTCCTGTGACAACTCTCTAAGATGGGAATCCAGTTCACTTTGTAAAAAAATCATAATTTCCTGTTGTTGGTCTGGGAAGGAAAATCTGATGGGGGCTGTAACTTTTCCCTACTATATCTAAAAAAAAAAAAAAAGTTCCCTTACGTCCACTTTGTTTCTTGTTGAGAACCTATTTACCTTCCTTGTCTTTTAACCCTTTCGCTGCCAAGCCCTCAAACATTTTGCACCTCAGCTGGCCACACCATTTTTGCAATTTTTCCCATTGATTTGATTTTCAACTGCTGTGTTGCTAGCGTTTGTAAAAGACCCCCCAAACCATATATTTTCTGAAAGCGAAGGCCCGGCAGAATAAAAAGATGGTGATACTAAATTTGTAGGCCCTGCGATAATTGCGAAAATGTTTCTCAAATTAACATTAAACCGATAAAAATACACAATTCAATTGATAAAGCACACTAAAATCCGTATCTGTGCACAAAAAAAATATTTTCTGACTAAATATAAAAGATTAAATTGTATTGAGTTAATAAATAACCAATATTTAGATATTTTAAATTGCGCCTTTCTGCAAAAAGGTAAAAAAATGTAAGGAACGCAAAACTGTTAGCGACTTATGTTTAATGTTTTTTGCGCTGTGTTTGTGATTAAATTGATACAGGCGTATATATTGCAACACAAGGTATCGCAACGCATGGCAATGCGTCACAAAGCTTTGCCATGCGCTGCCACAGTTAAATTAATGTTTTTTTTTAAAAGAAGAAAAAAAATCATGCACTGCGATGCGTTCTAAACAATGCACTGCAGCGCATGTGCATGGTGTACACCACAATATGGTGTATGTTATGTGTGTGGGGTTGTGTGTGTGTGTTTTTTTTTTTTTTTATTGTTTTTAAAATTAATTATATACACATACACACTGAGTGGCCAGATTATTATGACCACCCCCATCAGTATTTTATTGGGCCACCTTTTGCCTTCAATCCTGCATTGATTCTTCTTGGCATTGATTCCACGAGATGGAGTCAATGCCAAGTGAAAGGTGATGCGAGGAATCTGACACCACTCCTGATGAATAGCACTGTCCAGTCCTGTGAGATTCGATGGTTGTGGAACCAGCTGCCTGATGGCTCTTTCAACTTCGTCCCACAAATGCTCAATTGGATTGCGATCTGGTGATTGTGGGGGCCACCTAAGCAAGGTAAAGTCTCCCTCATGTTCTTGAAACCACTCCTGCACAATACGAGCACCGTGGCATGGCGCATTGTCTTGTTGGAAGAAGCCATCTCCATTGGGATACGCCATCAACATGATAGGATGAACTTGATCAGCAACGATACTTTGGTATGTTGTGCTATTCAGACGTTGTTACACACAAATTAAAGGGCCCAAATCATGCCAGGAAAGCATGCCCCAAACCATAACACTGCCCCCACCAGCTTGAAGGGTTGTACTCATGCATGTGGGGTGCATGCTTTCATGCTGTTCCCGCCAAATTCTTACCCTGCCATCTGCATGATGCAACTGGAAACGTGATTCATCGGACCACATGACTTTTTTCCAATGCTCAACTGTCCAATCCTTGTGTTCCTGTGCGAATTGGAGACGTTTTATCTTGTTAACTGCAGACAGCAAAGGTGTTGGAACAGGCCTTCGGCTTCCATATCCCATACGATGCAGTGTACGGCGAACAGTGCGTTCAGAGATCATTTGAGAGGATCCCTGATTAAGATCTGCAGTCATTTGATGCACTGTTGCCCTTCTGTTGTCTTGTACCAGTGAAATATCTGGGGTCTAAACAGAACCCTGACATTTCCCTTTTGAAACACAAAAAGAAACTAAGGGCGCAGAGTCCTCAATTTCTTTTTCTGCACTAAATGATGCACTGTGATGCATTCTAAAAATGTACTGCAGGGCATTTTATTTTTTTGTACAAATGTATTTATTTTTTAGTAATTTTTATTTTTTTTTTACTTTTTTTTTTGGCACATTCTTGGGTAACGCCCCATAAAGCTAGGAAACCAGTTACACACATTACAGTCATGTTTTTGTGTCAATTTGGGAATCAAACCTTTGGGCCTGGCTTTGTGTGTTGTGATGCTAGAGATCTGGGATCCATGCTGGGGATAGATTTCCCAAACCCTTTAGCATGATGGAGATTTATAAAAGTGCATCTATGTCCTTGGTAAAATAAATAATTGATCTTGGCGTTCTCTTTTTTTAGAAAATGTTCACATGAGGTTGCTTTCTTCTGCTAAAACCCATTTTCAGTTTATGAAGCATAATTCTGAGCCTTATGTTGAGGACAGGGTTGTTGTCTCAAGTAATATGCTACTTGTTGTAAACAAAAGCAGTGAAGCCACAGACTGCTGATCCCCTGTGGGACAAAACCTTCTTTCTGTCAGCAATGACAAAATAACTTTTCACCCACGGCAGGGTTTATCAATCATGGGGCTCTATGATTTAGGCTTCAGTAGTGGGTGAAATGTGTCCGTGTTTGCAGGCAGCTGGACTGAGAGAGGCATAGGACCTCAGAGCAGAGGCACAGGATATGCAAGTATACTGCTTTTAGTATTTTTTTGTATCACACCTCTTATTTTTACTTTTCTCTTTCAGTCTATTAAGAAATCCAGTCATTAACAAGCGGCATTACAGACTGTATGTGATCTTCAGACTTCCACAAGTTCGTGTGTTGGACTTCCAAAAAGTCAGACTAAAAGTGAGTTCTTTAGGGGCTGTTCACAAATGTTGAGTCTGGCTTCTTAACCCATGTTCATGAATATTGCTTGAAATTGAATCACTAAAGGTTGCATGAAAAGCCAGTGAAGATTTGCCTGAACAGCAGCAAGGATCTTTGCTATGCAATTATTAATGTTCTAATGCAGGGGTGGACTAATTAATATTGGTATATGTATAAAATATATTATTAATCTGGAATTCGGGAGGCAATTTGGACAGCTATTTTTAAAAAGCGTTGGTGACCTGGCTCCTGGTATTTGTCCAGCCCTGTTCTAATGTATGAATGAGCATTAAGGCCTCATTCACAAGAGAAACGGCCGGCACGTACAGCTCTGTGCTGCACACGCGGCCGTATCAAGCAGCTCCCGGGGAAGGAGGTGCTGCGTTTGATTTAGTACGCAGCCCCTGTCCTATTTCAAACTATGCTGCCGTACGCCACCCTACGCTCACCTACCCCGAACGTCCGTGCGGGTGTTCGTACGCTGACAGGAGGGATTCTGTCTACGTAGAGAAGGACAGGGGACACGCAGCACATGTCCTTCCCGGGCCGTGCACGTAGCTGTTTCTCGTGTGAATGAGGCCTAACTTTTCTTCCATTTTGGAAATATATTTTCAGCATGCTTTTCTTTTTTTTTTTAAGTAGTTATGTTTTTGTGTTGGGCAATAGAATGGAATGTGGCTCGCTCATTTGATTTTCTTATAGTTTATATTGTGGATATTTGTGAAGCCATACACCTGGTTTGTAATGCTCTGTATAAGACTGCTGAGTGGTCAGTTCCCAGTCTTCCATGTTCTGTATCTGATTCTCAATTTAACTCTGTGTATGGTATCGCTTCAGGAGCAGGAGGAGGCAGCGAATATGTTCAAGGGCAAGCGGGGTGCAGAGCTTGCAAAGGATATTGCCAAGAGATCAAAAACGTAAGATGCAAACTTATCTCTGCAAACAAAGTCTCGTTCACAAGCACCTTTGTACAGAAACAGTATCACTATAGTTGTCATGCAAGTTTATTATTATACAGGATTTATATAACGCCAACAGTTTGCGCAGCGCTTTACAATATAAGGAACACATTACAATCACAATATAATTCAAGACAAAATGGTAAGGAGGGCCCTGCTCCTGAGGGCTTGTTTCATTAGATTTCTGTTTCCCTTATCAGGGTGCTTTCATAGTGTGTCATGAAGTGGGATGTCCTTATGATGAATTGTGTCAAGTCTGATTTACCGGTCACATTTGCAAAACATTTTGCAAGCTCTTTCCAGTAATTGGGTTGATAGGGTTCCCCTGTTCTCTGTGCAGTACAAGGTGCTTCTGAAGAGGTTTTGTTTCTTTTGTATCAGCTATTAACAAAGATAAGATACTACACTGGTTTTAAATCACTTTCATGGTGTGACCTTTTGAAAGTTGAGAGAAGCAGATGTTTTATGAGAATAAACTGAAGACATAACTAGATTGACTCTTGTCTGGTTGCAGATTTACACCTGGTGCAGGCTTAGCAGCAGCAGCAGAGAAGAGGAAGACTGGACCTTCTCCTGGTGATGTAGAAGCTATAAAGGTATTACAAGTTGGAGCCTGTTGGTTTGTCAGCAAAGCTGAAATCTAGGCAAATATAATAGACACTGCTCTGTAATCATTAAAACATAATTGAATATATTTAAATGTACGCAGCATAAGTACCTGATATAAAAAGGTTTCAGCCTCTTGCCTTCCCTATTCAGAAGGACTGGAGTGCTAGAAGAAGAAGCCAATTCATGTGCTGACCAGCGACATGCTGATTCTGCTTTTACTGTCCAGTCAGAGGCAGCAGCTGGGTCTAGAAGTTGGTTAAATGATGCTGGGCATCAGACTCGGGGGATTTTGTGGTGTAAAAGAAGTACTGGAGGGGACATTTCTGGAATATAATGGAATACTGTAATAAAAGCTGCTTTATTAAAGAAGAGCTCCAGACAATTATTCTTAACCCTTGAGGTAGAGCAACCAGCACACTGCAATGGGTTAAGTGCTCATTTTTATCTAGGGAAGAAAATAGTCAAACTCATCTGAACTTCGCAGCTGCCTGCCTGTTAAACCGGTCCCTGCAGCCTCTCTTCCCTCTCCGCTCTCACAGTTTAAGGTTCTGTGACTCCTCACATCTTATACAGTGCGTAGGATTGGAGTACGCCTAGGGACATTCCATTTCTGGCGCGGAGATGGAGGTAGAGGCTGCAAGGACCGTTTTAACAGCCAGCTTGCTGCGAGGTTCAGGTGAGTATAACTTTATTTTTGTCCCTAGACGATAAGCACTTAACCCTCGCAGTGCAGCAGTGTTAATTTAGTCGACTAAAATGTTTCATCATAGATTTTGTCACTTGCATATTTTCACTGAAGAAAACGAAATATAAAAACTATGTTAATAGGACTAAAACTATGACAATACATTGTGATTTTTCTCTACTGCAGATTGTCGACAAAACTAAAACAATTCAGATTACTAAAGCTAAAATCAGTGGAAACATTTTAGTGCGGAGGTAGCCCCACTGCAAGGGTTAAGAATAGGGCTGCAGCTTACGATTATTTTCATAATCAATTAGCTGATTATTAAGTTCGATCGGATTTTAACCCCTTCATGACTGAGCTAGTTTTTAGTTTCTGTTCCTAAATAACATTTTTAGTTATTTATCAGGCTGCTCCAAGCTTAGGAACAGCTAATAATAACTTTAGAGACTGATCCTGACAGCATATCAGAATCAGATGGTCTTTGATCGTTCCTAGACTATCAAAACTGACACATTTCCCTCAAGAGATACATTTCAACCACTAGATACAAAATGTATCATTTAACATTGGGCCAGGCTCTCCAGTTGTCAAAACTAATAGCAGAGAGGTGAGTCACTGCTACCTCTCTGCTATCTTCAGCTGTCAGATACGGGATCTCTATTTGGCGAACCCGTATCTGAATGTAAAGGCTTCATTCTTTCATTAATGAAAGAAGCTTTTAAAAAAGCTTAACTATTTCATTAATGAATGTCTCAATAGTGAGGCATTCATTAATGACTGGAACTGCTAAGAATCAGCAGTTACCAGCATTACAGAGGCTAATATAACTCTGCACGTACAGTGTACGTGGCCAGTCATATAGCCACTTTGTGACGGGACGTACACTGTACGTCTCCTGTCACGAAGGGGTTAAAAAAATGAATTTTGTTTAAAAAAAATCGCTCCAGTGATGGACTAGTTTGTATTGAGATTGTGGTCCATCACAGGAGCGAGCTTGAAGCGGTGGCTACTTTACAACACACACAGGGACCATGGGGAACAAAAGTAGTCACCCTCCAGAACAATGCAATGTACCATCGGCTATAGAGGAATACAAATCCCAGCAATGCATTATACAGAACAATGTACGATCAGCTATAGAGGAATACAAATCCCAGCAATACATTATACAGCACAATGTACCATCAGATATGGAGAAATACAAATCCCAGCAATACATCATACAGCACAATGTACCATCAGCTATAGAGGAATACAAATCCCAGCAATGCATTATACAGAACAATGTACCATCAGCTATAGAGGAATACAAATCCCAGCAATACATTATACAGAACAATGTACCATCAGCTATAGAGGAATACAAATCCCAGCAATACATTATACAGAACAATGTACCATCAGCTATAGAGGAATACAAATCCCAGCAATACATTATACAGCACAATGTACCATCAGATATGGAGAAATACAAATCCATGCAATACATTTTACAACGCAATGTAATAAGTGGGGGGACATTTCCCGGGGGGGAGGGAGGGAGAAACATCTTCACCACGGACATGTGCTTTTCTCCCTGCAGTCCCAGACTGCCCTCCCCTCTTCACACAACACACATTTCCCTGTAGTTTACTGACATCTTACCTGCTGAGTAGTCTCCAAGCAACTTTCTTCCCTGTGAAGATCATGGTGTGGGGCGTGTCTGTCGGCAGCGGCCTTCCCCCGCCCGCGCCTCCTCGCTTCAGTTTAATAATTCTCCCTGTGGCGATCGTGGGTGGTGTGGGCGTGTCTGGCAGCTGCGGCCACCGCCACCCCCTTGAACTGGATCAGTCAGTGAGAGCTGGGCGAGGTGGGGAGGAGAAGCCGCATGCGTGGCGCCGCGGGCAGGGCAACCAACCGATTATGGAAAGCAAAGTTTTCCATCATCTATTTATAATAAACTTAGTCAATTAGTTGCTGCAGCCCTAGTTCAGAATAAGTCTGTCTGAAGTTGTTCTTTAATTCTATATTTGATGTGCTATTAACATTTTACCTTGTTTTTTGGCTGGAGGTCTGCTTTAAGGCTCAGGCAAGAGAATGAGCACTGAACAACAAGTCCTTTAAATGATCACTTTTGTGAAAACAAATCCAACATTTAGTTAATAAAATGAAAGCCTTCTATTCCAATGGAAAAGATTTCATCTCATGAGTTATTATTTTCTCTCCATGTGAATGCTTTACACTCTAGATACTTCTATTAATCTCTTCTGTTTACCAGCAATTACTGCTATACTATCAGTGGTCTGTTCTAGGGATCATGCATCTTGTTACCTGTTTCTGTCTTGTGTTTGCAGAATGCCATTGCCAATGCTACTACCCTGGCAGAAGTAGAACGACTCAAAGGCTTGTTGCAGTCTGGTCAGATTCCTGGCAAGGACCGTGCACCTGGTAAGTGGAACATTCTATATGGTCTATTGAACCCAAGAAAGTAATGAGTAAGGCCTCATTCACACTGCATTGTCAGGCGGCCCACGCCCGTATTGGACCGTTCCTGGGAGGGATAGGTGCTGTTTGTGATTGCACGCAGCAGCCTGTTCTTCCCTATGGGAGGACGCAGCCGTACGCTGTCATACACACACCAGAACTGCACATCTGTGCAGGTCCGGGTGTCCCTGCAGACGCATCCTCCCATAGGGAAGACCAGGCTGCTATAGGCAGCACCTGTCCCTCACCGGAACGGCTTGATATGGGCATGCACATCGCACGGACGTATACGGCCCGACTTTACGCTGTGTAAATGAGGTCTAATGGTCTGTACATTTTGGTTAAGGATGTCCCGATGCCCCTTTTTCAGGACCAAGTACAAGTTCTTTCCTTCGTGTACTTGCCAATACCAATTACTAGGGCTGTTACTGATTAAAATTTTCGTGTTCGATTAATATAAATTCTTTTTAATCGATTAATTTGGATTAATTATAACGCACATACAGATCCAACTACATTGGCCTATACACATACAGCACAGCCATGAAGTAATAACATGAGCTAGGATCACACTAATCCAGCACGTTATTAATCTCACGTGCCCCACTCAATATGGCCGCCGCTTGAGTGGGGCAACTCAGAATAATAACGTGCTGGATTAGTGTGATCCTAGTTCATTGTATTACTTCATTGCTGTGCTGTATGTGTATAGGCCAATGCCTTGGCTGGCGCTCGTGCAGAAAGTTAAAAAAAAAAATGTAATCGATCAAAAATGTTTTAATCGATCAAAATTAACGATCGAGAAATTAATCGTTAATTTGTACAGCCCTACCAATTACCGATACTTTTTTTTTTTTTTTTTAGGGACAGGTGACTTTAAATGATCCATAGTACAACTACATGTTATGTACTATGGATCATAATTTAACCTATTCATGTTAGCAGGGGAGAATTGTAAATCTATTGCTGGAGTGTAGTGGAGGTGTGTGCTGTATATATGTACTACATATACAGTACACACGTCCAGTACACTATAGCAATAATATACAGCCAGCCCCGTCCCAGCTTCCTTCACTCAGTTTCACTCCGATCCCTGTTGCCTCACGCGGTGCCTCTTGTAGTCGGCGCTGGGCAGGATCGCTGCATCGCGTCTCGGTGCTCAGCTTGTGGGAGGCGCTCGCAATTCTGCCCTGCTAACATGAATAGGTTAAAATCATGATCCATAGTACATATACAGCACACATGTCCTGTACACTGCAGTTACAATTATCCCCTGCTAACATGAATAGGTTAAAAGATCCGTAGTACATGAGAGTACATAACATGTAGTTGTACTACGGATTATTTAACCCATTCATGTTAGCAGTGCAGAATTGTAAATCTATTACTGCAGTGTACGGGACATGTGTACAGATAGAATGCACTGCAGTAATAGGTATACAATTCAGCACTGCTGAATGGTTTAACCATGAATGGGTTAAATGATCCGTAGTACAACTACATGTTATGTACTATGGATCATTTAACCCATTCATGGTTAAACCATTCAGCAGTGCTGAATTGTATACCTATTACTGCAGTGCATTCTATCTGTACACATGTCCCGTACACTGCAGTAATAGATTTACAATTCTGCACTGCTAACATGAATGGGTTAAATGATCTCTAGTACAGGGCTACATACAGATCATTTAATCCATTCATGTTATCAGAGTATAATTGTAAATTGATGGTCTCCAGTGTATAAGCAGTGTGTACTCTATATGTATTACTCTATATGTAATATGTATTGATGCACTGAAAGACATCGTCGGCAAAGAAGAGCATCGCGTCACCGCTGTTCCGGTGGGCGGCGCTCTGAGTGGGATCCTCTGGGCAGTCGCCAGGCACCTACACTGGGACCCCACCTGGAGCTCCATCCACAGCAGTGACGCGACGCTCAGCCTGCCCAGAGGACACCCCACCACGGAAGGTAACATTAAAAAAAAAAAAACAGTGCAAGCTTTGCCGCTATGCATCGGGGCATTTTGACAAGTACTTGTCAAAATGCCTGATATCGGGACATCCCTAATTTTGGTCATCGCTGGCAAAATGTTTGGGGAAACAGTTTGGTAACATGCAGTTCTTTACCTTTTTATATGTATGTTCAGATTGTTTACATGTTTGTCTTTTACATTCTATAGGAAATGAGGTTTTCATTTCGGAGGAAGCTGATGATGAAGAAATGGAGGAAGAAATGGTTGCTAATGGGTCCTAAACTGTTTCTTTTTATTTTTGTTTTATTGTAAATGTTCTTCTGTAAATTGACTTCTATAATAAAGGTTTTTGTATTAGCTTGCTTCCTTTGCGTAGATATGTCCAAGTACTAACATGTTGGGGCATGGGCATGTCAGAATGCTAACATTTTGAATGCATGGTTCTGTGTATGTACTAGAGGTTTTTGAGATTGATTCCCTAAATAATTGGCTGTGGTAGCTTTAGCCCAGTTATTCAGTTTACATCTGATCTCGGTCAGGAGAAGCCGTTTTAGAAAAAATTTCCGCACACAGGATCAGACATTTAAGGACCCCGTTCACACCCAGGCGTCATGGTTTTTGCTAGTTTGTACACTTGTTTTCTGTTAGCTTTTTTGCACGTTTTGCACAATTCTGTACATATCAGATGCGTGCTTTCACTGGCAGCTTGAGAGACATTGCGATCAATGAACAAGCGCGTGTGCAAAATGCTTCTGTCTTGCATTTCCATGAATGTCTATGGGGGAAACAAGCTGCAAACTGCCAAAAGAAGCTCATATACTTTTTTTCTGCGTTTAGCGTTTTGTTGCTCAGGTGTAAACAGGGGCCATTGAAAATCATGGGATATCTTGTGTTGGGTCTTTTGAAGCTTGTTTTCTCCTGCTCAAAAACACCTAGGTGTGAACTGTGTCCAACTGTATAGCTGCTGCATGCAGGATTAAAATAACCCCTGAGGGTTATGCTGCCCTTGGGAGGCAGAAAACCAAATTTGTATCTGTATTTCTCAACTAGCAGGCAGTTATCACGCAAGCAGTGTTAACTGCCTGAACGGGACCTGCGTTAAGCCTGTTGCAGTCAAGGTATAGCAGGGCTGAAGTGTGAGAGGAAGAAGCAGTAGAAAGTCAATCCATTCAGTGCTGACAAAAAACATGTTGGTAGGCGAGAGCAGAGTGACAGAGAGATGACCTCATCACTGTGCCGCTCCTTGCACTGTCCAGTCACAGGCTGGGGCGGGTCCTGGGCTCAGCGGAAGTGGTTTCAATGATGCCATCAGAGGACATCTAGTGGCAGAAAAAAGTACTGCGGGGGAAATATCTGGATTCATGTGACTACTGCAGCAAACGCTGGCTTTGTTATTTTATATCGATAGGCTATACATTTTTATCTTTGTGGCTGGAGTTCTGCTTTAAACCTACTTTTTTTTATGCTTTAATGCAAAGTCCATTTTCATATCTGCCGTTGTGTATTTGATTTATTTAAAGAAAATTCTTTAACTGTCCTAATTTCATGCATTCAAAGTGTATAAAATGTAGATAGTCCAAACTCTAGGGGCCATTCACACCTGTGTGTTGCATTGACACAAGGCACCAAGCACGCACTATTGCATGTGGTGCCATTCCTTGCGAATGGCACCACACAATGGCATTGAGGTGCTATTGATTGGAAATGGCACGCTATTGCACCTCTATTGCAGTGCAATACAAACTGCTGTGTGGTGCATGCCCGATTTTAGATCCCTTGTGGTAGGTTGGCAATCCACACATGTTAAAACGCAAATCTCAACAGACTGGATGATCTGAATAAGCACTGAAAGGGAGGAGGGCAGTCCTTCTTACAGTGTATGTGTTTTGCTAGTTGGAAGGTCAGTTGTCATCTACTAAAAATTGGCTCTAGACTGCATGGGAGTTTGTCTGACTGGCACTTCTCCCAGGAAATGTTTTGTCAGTTTGCAGAATACCATAAAAACTGCTAGGAGGTAGAGCTTTTTGGTAGAAGAGACTTTGGCTTTTGGGCAGCTACTAATGTAACTTATACAAAGTGAGAGAACTTCATTCTGGAAGAACCTGTTGACAAGATGGCTGTGATGCTTTGGCAAGTCTGATGTAATGTGCAACCCTGTGCCTTATGGCAAGAGATTCTGCTGTTCGGCAGTGCCACAGTTCCACATTAACCACTTGCCATTCGCCCGTTGTGAAAAAACGGACGGCAAAGTCCCATGGGCGGGTTGCCGTAATTAGACGGCTTTTTTTCCCCTGCTAAGGGCGCCCCCTGAGCAGAAAAAACCCGCCCGTTCTTCACAGCTGTTACCGGCTGTTTGACATATTAACCGATCGGCGACTCTATAGCTGCCGATCGGTTGTATGTTGTGTTGTGCCGACCCCTCACCTTCAATCCTGGGATCCGCTAGCCCATCTGCGGCTCGGGAGGGTGTCGGGAGGGAGAACAGCATCTTCCTCCTTGCTGATCTCTGTCCGGGCTGTGAATGTGGAAGTGATGTGTATTACATCACTTCCGCATTCACCTGTCAGTCATCTGGCTGCTATTGCCGGAGAAAAAAAGCTGATGAAGCAGATCTGTGCTTCATCAGCTTCTTTTGGGGTCCCCAGGTGACATTAGGGGTCCTAGAGACCCCTAATGTCTCCATTAAGAGGACGTCAGAGAGAGCAATAATTTTAGGTCCATCAATCACTGATAACACTAAACTGATGAGCTGTAACGGCTTTTAAAGCGTCGCCTATGGCCAATTTTGGGTACTGTAGTTTTTTGAGGTTTCGCGTGCCCAATTTTAAGGCTTGACATGTTTGTTGTCTTTTTGCCCGACGTGACGTCGTCTTTTTTTATATTTTACCAAAAAATTGGGTAAGAAAGGTTTTAGGGGGAAACTGTATTTTTAAAAAATGTTTTGGTAATTTTTCCTTAATATAGTAAAAACCCCAGTGGTGATTAAATACCACCAAAAGAAAGCTGTGTCCCTAAAAAATGGTATAAAATTCAGTTCAGTACAGCGTTGCATGACGGAATAAACGGCAGTCAAAGTACCGCAGCGCTGAATACTGAAAAAATGGCCTGGCCAGGAAGGGGGGGGGAGTCAATCTTCCTTTCCCATACCCCTCCCCCACTCACTAAGGACCTCCATTTGCAACCTCCACTTATCGCGGCCTGCTCATATTTTTGCTACTTTTTTTGCAGCTTCTCTGCATAGAATCCAATGAAGAATTGGGGCCAATAGAGAAAATCCACGCATGCATATACTACACCTCTGGCTTGGGAAGGAGGCTGCTGGCTGTTGTGTCATCTGCACTATGGGGTATAGAAGCAATGAGCGGAGGACTTGCAAAAAAACAAACAACTTTTTCAAAGTAACCCTTTTAAGTTTATGAAATGTCCTTCAGCCCCCTTAGCATTTAGCCCTAAAGATTCTGCCCTATTTACAGAATGGAAGCTAAATGCTGTTCTCTTAAAGTGGAAGGAAAGGCCGGAGAACAACGTACCTGTTCTGATGTTGGTTCCCTTTTGATGTTCTACACCCTGCAGCCATTTCTTTGAAATCAGCATCTAATGTGACCACAAAGCTCCGTCTGGTATGTGTGTTTCTGTCGGCCCACGATGCTGTTCAATTCCAATGCACTTTCAGCTCACCCATCCATAGTCCCAGGATGTTGTCGGGCCTGCAGAAGGTTTACAGGCCTCAGCAACATCGGAAAGCACTGGAGTTCTGCAGTCACATGACCACAAAATAAAAAGAGTAAAAAATGTAGATGCCCGGTAAGAAGAAACAGTCTGTGGAGAGAATAACAGCAAAGGGGCATCGACATTAAACAGCTATGTTGTTCTCTTGACTTTCCTTCCACTTGAAAGCCCAAGGTCCTTTTATCCCACTATGATCCAGCCTGTAAACACAAGAAATAAAAAAAAAAGTACACTGCGCCCTTAAAATCAATAAATTCTACCCTTGAGCTACTACCTTTAAATAATATAACAAAAATCATTAAGAATATAAGGAAACGGCTAAAAATATATATGCAGTGCAAATCAGTATTACTTTATCAACCTCATATTAATACTTAATTTGTGTAAACACAGAACCTGACCATGCGGACCAATAAGAAGCGTTGATTACTTCCGGGACCTGGTCCCAAGCTCAGAAGCGCCAGTCATGTGACCATGCTGACCAATGAGCATTTGCAAGCTTTATGCTCATTACAAAATTTCATGCTGTGACGTGCTGTATTTGGCATGCTACACAGCCTGGTGAGGGGCATCACGTAGCTAACCGGTGGGGAGCTGTGAATAAGTAATTGTTTTCACATTCACACCTGAGCATATGTGAAATGCGTCAAGAATGCGAAATGGCCTTGTACCATTACCAATCAATGGCACCTAAACCGTGGCTGGGAAGACACAGGTTTTTCCCTCTGCGTTTGTACAAGCACAGATGGGGGGGAAAAAATTGTGGAACATATGTTGCAGATTTTGCTACATGCACTACTTTTCTGTGTCTGTTACATGTACAGGAACCAATTGAAATCAATGGGAATGCGTGTGAACACGATACGCACTTAGGTGTGCATGGGAATTTATCAACCTTGCATGCATTTACACATTTATTTATATTAGTTTTAAGTTTGCATACACTTATTTATTCAATAGAGTTATATAACATTGCACTGATGTTTTTTAAGCACTTCGTTATATTCCGAATGCTAAAACAATCGGCTCAATTCACAAAGCTAAAACGGGGACCAGGATCCCTGTCTTAAATAAAAAAGTGACAAATATTTTAGCTTAGTCCAATGAGAGTTGACAATTGCAGTCACGTGGCGTATAATATAGATCCATGTCCTTGTGTATAAAGTTTCCTGAGTTGAGTCTCGCGCAAGCCGGTGTTCTAGCGAAATGGACCAACCCCTTTGTGACAGCTGTCTGCCGCTGTAGCTGCTTAATCATCATGGTGCGGGGTCGGCCCCGCCCTATAATTGATGATCAGCCAATCACAGTTAAAGCTGTCACATTGAACGAGGCTTGAAACGCAACCTACATCCGGTTTCGATTTATCTGACATCCTGTGCGTTCCACGTGACCTAATCTGAGACACGTCATCCAGCGCCGCTATTGGCTGGAGCTTAGTAAACACCGGAAAGCCGGATCTAGAGGAGGAAGGTGTCTGGCACTGTCAGCATGGAGCTGGACGATCAGGAGGTGCCGGCCGCCAAGCCCGAAGTAGAACTGGACTTCACCAGCTTCCTGCAGGAGACAGGTGACCGCATGGGGTGTCTGGAGGAGGGACGGGTCCAGCTGTGCAGCGGTGATTTTTTGGCTGCATTTTGGGATCAATGTTCTGCATGTGTTTTAAGGTGACCACACACACACAGCGATAAGATTCATCATTTGATATGGCTATTATGATCCATTGAACCTGGCATTTGTTTTTTGTAAGCTCTTGATCAATTCCAATCTGGCAAGGCGATTGGCCGCGGTGTATTTTTGTCAATCGCTTCTGATCAAACAAACTAATATCTGCGTGTGTGCCAGGGAACCAATCGTAACACAGGCCCATCAAATCATTTAAATGTTTCGGATCGAATTTTCAACCAGTACCTTATGCGTTGCATCGTTTTGATATTTTAATTGACGATGACTCGCCTGTTTGCAATTGTATCTAAATGGATCACAAATCACTATTTGGGTGGGAATAGGTCAAAAATGCGGCAGGCAGAATCTGGAGCGGTTTCCCATAGCAACCAATTCTCTTTGTAGTTTGTTCACTTAAAATGGGCCTTTCATTAAAAATCACCTCAACATACAGCTCTGCATGCTAACATGAAATCATCTTACATTCTTTTACAAATAGTTCCCCCCCCCCCACTTCCTGGTCCACTTTAGCACAAATGATGTAACCTTCCCAGAATGCAATGCTTGGGCAACATCAGCAGAGCGTTGCTGGGAAATCTCATCTGTAATCTCATGAGATCTCAGGGAAAGGCATTTTCCTCCAAACGTTTCTAAGACCTCATTCACATGGGGCTCACGGGGGGCGTTATACGCCCGTACACGGCCTATCCCGGGAGGGACAGGTGCTGCGTGTGATTGCAGCAGCCTGTTCTTCCCTATGGGAGGACGCGGCTGTTCGCTGTCATAGGCATCCTGTCTGCGTCTAAGTGCGGACACCCGGGCCCGCACAGATGTGCAGTTCGCATGTGCATATGACAGCGTATGGCCACGTCCTCTCATAGGGAAGAACAGGCTGCTGCTTGCAATCACACGCCGCACCTGTCCCTCCCGGGATCGGCCATGTACGGGCGTATAGGCCCAGTGTGAATGATGTATTTTTTTTGTCATTTTAACGATAAGGGTAAAGTTCCTCTTTAAGCTTTGAAAATTTAAAGCTAGAAGCTGATGGGTTACTATGGGCAGCTACTCCAGATTCTGTCTGCCCAAGTTTTGATCAATTCCCCTCTCTGTGTATGGTCACATTTAGAGGGCTGCCCATCTGAGCGGCCTTGCAGACCTTCCTATTCCTAGGGTTAGTCCTACTATCATGTGCCAAAGGCCTTGCGGCAGGAATCCCAGGTGGGTCCAGACAAATGTGGATGGTAGCCACATCTGTCCTGTGGTTCAGGATGTGTGTGTGACTCTCCTATTAAAAATGCTTAAAGATGAATACATTTTATTAAATCATGGTTGCTAGGTCGCCCTGGCTACAAAAAAATGTTTTTCCCCATGCGGCCAGGTGTTTGAGCATTTTAAAATGCAGTTTCATGGACTGCAGTTCTGCTGGCTGTCACTAGATGGCGCCTAGTAGAAAACGTATCCATTTTGGTTGGTTTCGCACCTAAGCGTCACTTTATTCGCGTATGCTAGGTCGCATGTTTTTGTGAGCAGATTTTGGCACATCTATGTCAATGAGCAAAACGCGCTGTGATACACATGCAAATAATCGCAACACGTGTTTAAGCATTTTCTATTGAGTCCATGGGACAAAGCGCGCTGAAATCAGCCCCAAAGTAGCTCATGTATTTCATGCGTCAGGCGTATTTCTGCTTGCGACACAACACTGACGTGCTCTGGAGTCATAGACATGAATGGGATACCTAATGTTGAGCTGTTTGTCACACTGATTTACAAGTGACGAAGTTTAGGTGGGTCACTAGATGGCGCCTAGTAAAAAAGGTGTACAGATACAGTGTATAGAATGTGATGACTCGGGGACCTTAGACCGCTGCAGCAGATGGGAAACAAGGCGGAAGGGACCGGTCTAAGAGCAAGCTGGCTCAGAGGATCAGGTGAGTATAACTTTTTTTTTTTTTCTCGCATCCCTAGACCAAAACGAGCACTTAACCCTTGCAGTGTGGGTGTAGCCCCATTGCAAGGGTTACACATTTTTTGCCCAGAGTTCTTCTTTAATAGATGCTCCTAGTTTGTTCATACCTGTCTCTCCATCTCTCTCTGATCCAGACAAACGACAGTAGATCAAGAGATAAGGTGTTTGTAGCAGATTTTATGGTGTGAGCTGGGAGAGGCTGTTCCTCCAGTGGTAAAATGCATTCTATCCCCCTATATATTTGGTTGTATTGGACAGAAGAGCATAAATAAATTGTTCACTTTACATTGAAAATATTCGCTTTCGGCATTTTATTTTTATAAGAATACCATTTGCCAGAAGAAAGAGGCGTATTCAAGTTCTTAGCATTCCCAGCTATTGGTGTTCCTTGATCTTCCACTGGAGGGCGCTCGTGTTCCAGTCTTCAGAGTTTTATGGAAGGGCCGTATGTGATCACTCTAAATCAGTGGAGACCAGCTCAACGTAGATAATCTTATCTGTGTTTGTTTTTGTATTAATCTTGTATTTATTACATGGTAGCAACCATATTTGCTATTTAAATTTCAAAATATACATCGCTCAATCCCCAAAGTCAGACAACACTGACCCAACCAGTCACATCAATTAGGTGCAGGCCCCAAACATACATGCTGAAATTCCAACGTATAGCCGCACATCCGACAGTTCATAAAAATAAATCCGATTTCTTGAGAGTTCATACCATCCAAGTACACGGCAATATCATCCCACACCGATCCCATAGACCTCTTGTATCTCTATGATTAAGCCTATTTGGTGCGTGAGAGGCTATGGGATCCGTGTGGGATGATATTGCTGTGTACTTGGATGGTATGAACTTTCAATGAATCTGATTTATTTTATAAACTGTCAGATGTGCGGCTCTACGTTGGAATTTCAACCATATGTGGTTGAAATTCCAACGTAGAGCTGCAGGAAACCAGGTCTGCTTTGATCAATTCTGTCTAATTGCTGAAAGTCTGTCTCTAATGATGTCAAGCACCCAGAATGCACCTGGTAGCCAGAGGCCTGTCATTTTTGCCTTGGCAGTGACATGAAGATCATAGCAAAGATGATAATTATAAGAAAAAAATGTTTTGGATATTTTGAATGTGTGCATTATTTATTCAGATTACACGATAGATATTTTTATATACCAACAGATCTCCTAATAACGTCACAGCTGTCCAGCTTTCCGACCAGACACCTCGAGAAGCTCGAGGCAGTTGTCTATTAGCCAGTTCTTATGGTCGAGAGACTGGTCCACATTACTGGCCCATCCCTGTGATAGGTGGCTTGATTGTCTAATTATTAGAGATGGGAGGAAATTGGGAGCTGGTTGAAATTTGCATAATAGAATGCTCAGGGTTTCTTTTCCTAGGCTGCTCAATGCAAACTAGAGCTGCGGCTAACGATTATTTTCAAAATGGATTAGTTAGCCGATTATTAAGTTCGATTAATCGGATAAAAATTAAAATTTTAAAAATGGCTCCAGTGATGGGACTACTAGTTTGTATTGAGATTGCAGTCCATCACAGGCGCAAGCGTGCAGCGGTGGAAGTAAAAAAAAAAAGAAAAAAGTGTGGTGTGCAATATAGTGAGATGAAAAGTGTAAAATTATACAGCAATGAATGCAGAATGGCACCGGCTATAGAGGACTACAAATCCCAGCAATAGTACATTATACAGCACAATGCATTGCGCTGTATAATGTACTATTGCTGGGTTTTGTAGTCCTCTATAGCTGGTGGTATTCTGCATTGCGCTGTATAATGTATTATTGCTGAGATTTGTAGTCCTCTATAGCTGGTGGTATTCTGCATTGTGCTGTATAATGTATTATTGCTGGGATTTGTAGACCTCCTATACAGCGCAATGCAGAATACCATCACCTATAGAGGAAAAAAACAAATCCGAGCAATACATTATACATACAGTATATAATGTATTGTTGGGATTTGTATTCCTCTATAGCTGATGGTACATTGCTCTATATAATATACAGCACAGCACAATGTACCATCAGCTATAGAGGAATACAAATCCCACTATCCCAGCAATACATTATAGAGCACCATGTGGGTGGGAGGGAAGTGCCGGCTTACCTGAGCAGTCTTCCAGCAACTTGCTTCTGAGATCGGGCCTGTCTATCGGCGGGTGGCATCCGCCCACACCTGCTCCTCGTTACTTCTTCTCCCCGCGTCCCTGTGCCGATTGTGGATGTGGGTGGGCGGTGAGCGTGAGGCGGGGAGGAGGTGTGGAGCGTGGATGCGGGTCTGGCAGCGGCGAGCGTGAGGTTGGGAGGAGGTGTGGCGCGCAGCGTGTGTGGAGCCGTGGACAGGGCCAACCAATCGGAAGCCGATTAATCGATGATTGAAAAAGTTGACAACTTTTTCAATCGCTTTATAATCGATTAGTTGTTGCAGCCCTAATGCAAACGCCTAAAGGTCCTTACTATGTCATGCCCATAGTGCTTAAACCTTCATCTGTCTACTGACCTAATGTAGGAAAACGAGGTACATTTATTCATTGTGGAGAGATGAAGGTAGACGAGCTGCATAGAGGTCTATAGGGCTCTACCGTGAAGGTGGTCAACGGAGAGAGGACCTCGGCAAGGGATGTAAACAAACGTGGTAGGTCCCAGGTGTTGGATCTTGGTAATGGTCACCATATACATTATAATCAAATTTCGATTTACCAAACCTATGTAATATGAGGACCTAAATAATCTATCCAATCAGGCAGGCCCTTATACTACATGGTTGCTGGAAGATCTAAAGGAGATGGTACAATCCGATTGTAATGTGAGCTTTAGTATGCAGCTATGGAGGGGAAGGGTGGAATTGGTGCTGGTGAAGGTGCATTTATTCAATGCATTTGTTCTGAAGCTTCCAGATTCTGAGTGACAAATCCATTCACCAGGGCAGAGGGTGCAGTAATAACTAGTCACCCCATCATATTACCTGCACCATGTTATTGGGGTGCCAGGCGTTGGCGGTGAGCTGATATTACATGCGCGGCCAATCTTGAAGCACATTGCCTGATATTTAGGGAAACATAAGCTGGTAGTAATATAGAATGGAGCTCACATGCTTTAAGTCACTTGCTACAAATGATTTAACTAAAACTGTAAAATTGCCAGTGTCCATTGCTTGTGTTAGTATCAGAAATGCTGGAGTTGGTAAAGGGGTTTTTAAAAAAATATTTTCTGAAAGACCCCAATAATGGCCTCTGTACTCCCTTTTCCCTCAGCTTAGTGAAATAGGTGAAGCCCCGCTTACTTCCGTCATCTAATCCTGTGCAAGCAAAAATACTGTTTTTGTTTTATTTTCCTTCCACGTGATTGGATATTCATTGCACCACATTCCTAAGCTACCGTGTTTCCCCGAAAATAAGACACTGTCTTATATTTTTTTTTTTCCCCAAAAAAACACACTAGGTCTTATTTTCAGGGGATGTCTTATTTTTTTTTTTTGGTATGGTAAGAATGAGAATAATACTGTTGCTCTTTCTTTTCCTACTGGTCAGTATCGGTAATGCTGACCCCTTTCTTTCACTTTCACAGGCAGAGTGCATCTGGTATCACTCCGCCTGTCACAGTAACTAGCGATATAGAGGAAGCATCTGCTAATGTGTCTCTGCTCCCTGTACCACTCCGGAGGGAGTCCCCTGTCATCCCTTTAATACAGTATGTCCCTGCAGGCTAATACCATCTCACCTGCTCTTCAAGTTACCCCTCACATGCTACCACCAAACTAGGTCTTATTTTCGGGGTAGGTCTTATATTACAGGAATCTTGAAAAATAGTGCTAGGTCTTACTTTCGGGGTAGGTCTTATTTTTGGGGAAATGGGGTAAGTGAAACTTCCCCCGGCTATGTGACTGTGTCAATGTAACATACTGTTCAGATTTCACATGCATCTTCTGACTGAGGGTGTCCATGTACAATCTTTAGGCTTACCAATATAAGGACAGACTTCAAAAAGCCATTCAGTTTGTTTCCAGCGTGCAGACTCTTACGTTGCATAGTTGGGGGCAGATCTAAAGGTGGTTGTACAATGTACACAATATGTACGGTCATCTTTAGGTGGCCAAAGACAGCGCTGGATCCGGTGAGAATCCTCCGCAGACACCAGTAATCCCACCAGATTGCTGTCAGTGTGGAGTCTATATTCCAGTATCTAGAAGTTGATGTTTCTTGTGACTGGTTGTCTAACCTCATTGTGTTTTCTTTTGCAGTGGGTACCGCTCTGACAAGCTATGGATGGTTCATCCTTTTAGGCTGCATCCTTTTGTACATTTTGAAGCAGAAATTTTCATCCAACATTAGCTCGCTCCTCACAACCACACGGACAACGACGGCAGGTATTTCACGACCTCTTACTTTCTTACCAGTCTATAATGTTTTCAATAAATATTCAAAAAAAGGAAATCTGATGTTTTTATGTCTTTCCTTTTTTTCCAGGTCTCTTTTTAGTAGAAAGTGATCCATAAAATGGTGGATTATCATGAACGTTCTTATGTTTGTACTATGTTCTTTTAGTGCTGTGGTGATCAGACTCTTGTACTGTATGTTATTATACAGGATTTATATAGCGCCAACAGTTTGCTCAGCGCTTTATAATAATAAGGGTTGTACTCAGCACAGAGTGGCATGCTGGTACATCAGGTGGTGTTTAGGGGAAACCCCTTGCTTTTACTACAGTAGCTTCGAATCTGAAGGACAATAGTTACTGGGGGTTACTGCACAGCAATACAGTTTATCCTATGGAAGGAATTAAGACCTGTCCAGTGGTTCGTAAAACTAGTGAATCCACTGACGTATGGGGCCCTTATAGCGTATGATGACACCTGCATGGCCCTGAAACATTGCATGTTTTATTGTGTGACCAGTAATGCAATCAAAAGAAACTCTCTGTTTATGCTGAAATGTTGAAACGTGTTAGCGGTTGAGCATACATGGGGAGAAACTTAACAATAAGTATTTGCTCCATAAATACCCTTGGAGTGCAGCTTTTTCTGGATTTAGTTATAGGCGATGGCCCGCTTGTTTGCCTGCACCTGGGATGCAATCACAGTACAAGCCAGTTTGGGAATTTGAGCGGTGTTTTGCTGTGATTTACCTAAGCACACTATGGATGTTGAACGCGTGGCCTCGGCACCGCAGGAAGGAAGGCTCTGCCTC